TATCATTTTAGAGATCAATCGTTTATTGTAAAATGGTTCTTCGTCTAAAACTTTAATGTTATTTCAATCGAAATCGTGTTACATCCTATGTTCAGTTATTCAGAACAAGTAATCGTGTTCTAATTAATATGTTTGCGATGTTCTGCAATTCTTATTTTCGGTTGTCTATTCATTTGTCCAATATAAGATGCATCACATTTTTTGCAATGATTTTGTAGACGATACATTTTATTGACGTTACATTTTATTGATTGTTCTAAACGATCTTTTTGAACTTTACTATATTTATTTAATTTGTTAATACTATGAAAAGAAATTTTAATGTTTTTATTGTTAATTTATTTAAATTTATCCGTGAACCCTGGAACAAAAGGTATCGCGAACCATGAGACGTTATTTTTCAGTTCTTTATTCTCTTCTTTGTTACGTATTTTGAATTCTCTTCTTTGAATGCTTTCAATTCTATTATTAATAGAATTCTATTATTAATGTCAAAGATAAATTTAAGTGGGTAATTATTATTAACAGTATGTTGATTATGAATATATATTTTTCAAATAATGTTTTTTGTTGAAAAATAATAAAGCCCTGTCAACTAAATTGAAAATTATGTCTCTTTTCTGAGATATGGAATAGTTTGAAAAAAAGTTAATGAATCTATCCAAAAAAGTTGGTTTTTGATATCAATTAAAACTTAATTATTCATTATTTTGACATCAAGAAAGTTAAGAAAGTTATCTTCAATTTCTAAAGTAAATTGAAGTTGAGGATGAACAGAATTGAAGCATTAAAAAATGAATCTATCAATTTAGATGGAACTGCGGCACATCATCTACAAATCGATAATAAAAAAGAACTTGATTATTAAACATATTTAGAGCTGTTTTTCTAATTTTTACATGATTAAGTCAGCAATAATAGGTAAAAGAGGAGAACCCATAGATGTGCCGTAATTCTGTTTATATATAGTTTTATTGAATATAAAATAGGTTGAGTCTAAAACTAATCGTATTGCCATTAAGAATTCCGTTTTAGGTAAAGTATATTTGCTTGAAATGTAATTCCAGTTATCATTAATACAATCCATAGCAGAGTCAATTGATATATTTGTAAAGAGTGAAATTGCAATTTAATGATATTAATTTATGATCTTTGTTAATTTTAGTTCTTTTTAAGTTGTCAACTAAAAATTATTTCTGATGTAACTATGGATTCTATTAAGATATGATGTAAAAAAGATGCTAAATAATGCAACAGATTGCTAATTGATGAAACTATAATTCTGAACAATTTTGTGAATTTTTGATAAAGCATATGCTCTCGGCAATATTCCATCACTACAATAAAATTTGTATTGAGCAGCATTAATATAATTTTTGTTTTTCCATCTGATAAACTTTCTCAATGATGTTATCAGTTTTTTGCAAGGATCTCTTTTTATTATTTCATAAGTTTCAGTATCTTTAAACATTTCTGTTACTTTATCTATATAGAGATCTCTATTCAACGCTACTATAACATTACTTTTGTCCGCATGTAAATATGATGTTCGGTTGTGATTTTAGATACTTTTTTTGTGATTAATTCTAAATTATTTCATAATTTAGTAAACGATGGGAGTTGTGAAGAAAAGAGAAGACAACATTATGTTGTTGAGTATGGGAATTAAATGATTAATTATATCCATTTTCTTAATAATAAAAAATTTTCGAGTGCTATGTTCAACGCTTTACAATCAAAAATGATGTTTTTCTTATTTCTATTAGGGAGAGCAAAATTTTCACCTAATTGTAAAAAACATTGAACATCGTAAAAAATGCAAGATTAGAATAGCAAGATTTATTGACAAATCCATAGTTAAAGGCGGACACAGGTTATAGTTTCGTAAAAATCTAATTGAGTTTGTTGTCAATTTGGCCTCAAATTGGCTAATGTTTTGCTATCAGGAAACATATATTTAATATTTATAAACAATTATTTTTTATATTAGATGTACAACTTTGCTTCCGCCGTTTTTTTTCCGAAATTCGAGGCTTTATTGTAAAAAATTGGTTATACATTTATGATTCAAAGTATTGTCCATCGCTGGCCACTACTTTCTCCCATCTTTCGGGTAGCGTACGAATCCCGCGTCGAAAAAACTGGTCATCTTTTGAGGCTATCCACGAATCGATCCAATTTTTTACTTCTTCATAAGACTGGAAGTGCTGGTCAGCCAGGCCGTGTGCCATTGATCGAAACAAGTGATAGTCAGAGGGAGCAACGTCTGGAGAATACGGCGGGTGGGGTAGGACTTCCCATTTCAACATTTCCAAGTATGTCTTGACCACTTTCGCAACATGGGGTCGAGCATTGTCATGCTGCAAAATCACTTCATCGTGTCTCTCGTTGTATTGCGGCCATTTGTCTTTCAATGCTCGTCTCAAACGCATTAATTGCGTTCGATACCGATCGCCTGTGATTGTTTCAATCGGTTTTAACAGTTCATAATACACTACGCCGAGCTGGTCCCGCCAAATACAAAGCATGATCTTGGACGTCAAAATCACCGTTCTTGAAGGGTTGAAACCACTTACGACACGTTCTTTCACTAATAGCGGCCTCACCATAAGTATTTGAGAGCATTCGATGAGCCTCAATCGCAGATTTCTTCATATTGAAGCAAAAAATTAAAACCTCCCGCAAATGACGAGAATTTGGCTCATAAACTGACATTTTCAATCGAGAATAACTTTATGATGCAGACACAAATCGACTAATGTTTCTATGGGGTTATGTTGACAGATGCCCAAGTTTATTGTATGACGTCTATGATCTATTTATTTCGACCACCACTTACCGCTAAAGCCATCTATAGGAAAACGGCGGAAGTAAAGTTGTACATCTAATATAATTTTTGTTAATTGACCTGATAATATCTTATTAATATCTTATTAATAACTATAGAGTTTCTATAATCGTTCTCACGCGCTATAAAAATTATTGAAAACTATACAAACCTACAAATTCTATATAACCTATATTTCTTTATAGAAAATTTTAAGCAGAATAAAAAAACTTTAATAAGGAATTGCAGTCG